TTTCGTTCGTTCGTTCGCAAGTCGAATTAGCTCCGCGTTGTGTAGTGACGCTCTCGCTGACCCAGCCATGGGTAAGAAATCGCGCGGTAACGCGAGTGCCGGTTTACCGGGAAAACAGACTCTCCCAGGAGACGGCGCGACCACCGAGCCAGCCCAGAAGAAGCAGAAGAAAACCCCATTGCCCATCCCGACAGGCGTTGCGGACCCGCAGCCGGGGCCTCCCGGAACTAAACGACCCAGACCTGAAGACAGCAGCGCCACCGCATCAGCAGCAAAAAAGCTGCTGAGCAACAATCCGTTCTCGGCCCTGCAGAACGGAGCCCAGCCGCAGTCGGACCCTGAGACGGTGCCGAAAAAAGTTAAGTTGCCACCCTTCTATGTGAAGGGCTTCCCTCCCGGGCTATGGGAGCAGCTGGATTTCTACATTAAGCAGGGCCTTCGCTGCACCATTCAACGGTGCACGGAAGGCTACAAACTGATGGTCCCGGCCGAAAAACACTTCAACGCAGTTCAGGCCCTCTTGGACAGGATGAAGCTGGAGTACTTCTCCCACGACATCGAGGCCACCAAGCCGCTGAAAGTGGTGCTGCGCGGGCTCCACGACATGGACACCACCACCTTAATGGACGCGATTAAGGCGAACGGCCTCAAGCCGGTCGAAGTCCACAAGATGACCCGCAGCAAGGTCATCAAGTATCGTGACCAGCTCTACCTGGTCCATCTGGAGAAGAACTCCACAACCGTGAAGGATCTCCAGACGACACGCACACTGTTCCACATCGTAGTGAAGTGGGAGCGGTATAAGCCGACCCACCGTGGCGTCACTCAGTGCTCGAACTGCCTATTGTTCGGGCACGGCACCAGGAATTGCCGCATGGCCAGCCGCTGCATCAAATGCGGCAAAAACCACAAGATCGACAACTGCGACAGCATCGAGGAAGCCACTCCCACATGCGCCAACTGCGGTGCCGCCCACAAGGCCACGAGTAAGGCCTGTCCGAAGCGGGCCGAATACGCCGAGATCCGGAAGAAAGCCTCGTCCAACAGCCAGCCCGGTCGCAAGAAGGTTCCAGAAAACAACGCGCAGAACTTTCCTCCGTTATCACCGGTCCAATCACGGCTAATTCCAGTGTTGCCGCCGCTCCCGCTCAACCAACAGTTGGCTGCTGCCCAGTTGGCTGCCGCTGCAGTACCCGGTCAAGCCTCCGGGCCATCGACGGATCCCCCTGCTCCGGGATTGGCCGGTACAACCGGTGAAGCTACAGACGATTCTCCGCTGTCAACGGATGAGATCGTCACACTGTTGGCCCAGGCCATCATCATCAAGCGCACCTGCGCAACAAGAACACAACAGCTCCAAGCTATCATCTCCTTCGTCGCTAATTATGGACCGTGAACCCATAAAGATTGCCAACTGGAACGCTCGCTCCGTAGGGGCGAAAAACATTGAGCTTGCAGACTTCCTCCGCAAGCACGACATCGACGTGGGCCTTCTCACCGAGACCCACCTCAAGACCGGTGACAGCTTCTGGCTGCCCGACCACAGCATTGTCCGGCTTGATCGCACCAGCTCCAGGGGGGGCGGTGTCGCGGTCATCATCAAGAAAGGCATCAAGTACTGCACCCTACCCCACTACCGCACTTCCATCATCGAGGCCGTCGGCGTTGAGGTGGAAACATCGACCGGAAACGTCCGGTTCATCGTTGTCTACTGCCCCCGGCAATGTACCGTTAGCAATGGTACAGCACAGCAGTTCAAGAACGACCTTGCCATCATAACCCGCACCAATGCCCGCTTCGTAATCGGAGGGGACCTGAACGCCCGGCACGAGGCCTGGCGGAACTACCAGCAGAACCAGAACGGCCGCCTGCTATTCGACCATTCCCAGCATGGTCTCTATTCCGTCTGGTTTCCGGACGAACCAACCTTCACATCACCGACGGGCAACCCATCGACGCTGGACCTGTTCTTGGCAAACACCAGATTAGCCAAGCCGGTTGCCGTCAACGACCTGAGTTCGAACCACCAACCGGTGCTGACCGAGCTGGGCTACAACGTGGCCCCTGCACCGTGCCAGCGGAAGGACTACCATCGAGTCAACTGGGTCCAGTTTCGACGCGTGGTCGACCGCCACATCGACGACAACCCACCGCTCGACACAGTGGAGGACATCGACCGGGCCCTGGAGGGTCTCCATCAAGCCATATCCATGGCTGACGAAGAGTGCGTTCGACGAGTTCCTGTGAGGGGTAAGTTTCAAGCAATTGATTCCCACACCAAACTCTTGATTCGGCTCAGAAATGTTCGTAGACGCCAGTTTCAGCGGACTGGGGATCTGCAGTGTAAATGCGAAATGGTCGATCTGAATCGGCAGATCGCTTCCAGAATGATCTCAATCCGGAACGAGAGTTTCGGGCGGCTCGTTCAGAACCTGGACGACCGTTCCAGACCATTCTGGAAGGTTGCCAAGGTGCTGAAGTCTCACCCCAAGCCCATTCCACCACTTAGAGTCAATGACGAACGGCTTATCACCAACGAAGAGAAGGCCAATGCAATTGGGGAGCACATTGCCCAGTCGCATTTGCTTGGCTCTACAATCCCAAGTCCACTCGAGAACCAGGTTGTGCAGTGCGTCCAGACGTTAGATACCTCCCCTTGTGCCGTACCTCCAGAAGAACGGATTATAGAGGAACAAATTTGCTCAGCGCTGAAATATAGTAAAAACATGAAGGCTCCCGGGTTTGACGGAATATTCAACCTAGCGTTGAAAAATCTCAGCCCGAGGGTCCACTCGCTGCTGGCTGCCATCCTCAACAGATGCTTGGAGCTGCACTACTTTCCAAGCATCTGGAAGGTGGCAAAAATCATCCCGATCCGCAAACCTGGGAAAGACCCTTCACTACCGTCAAGCTACAGACCGATTAGCCTGCTCTCAGCGCTGAGCAAGCTGTTCGAAAAATTGATCCTCAGCCGACTAAACAAGTTTGTGGAGGAACATGACATTCTTCTTCCGGAACAGTTCGGGTTCCGCAAGGGGCATTCCACCAATCATCAGCTAGTGCGGGTGATGAATAACATCCGAAGTAACAAAGCTGTATCCAAGTCCACAGCCATGGCCTTGTTAGACGTCGAAAAGGCGTTTGACAATGTCTGGCACGACGGACTTATATACAAGCTTTGTAACTCCAACTTTCCACCATACCTTGTGAAAATCACCCGTAACTATCTCCAGCAAAGGTCGTTCAGGGTGTCGTTGAATAGTTCCCTTTCGGGACAATTTCCGATCCCAGCAGGTGTTCCGCAAGGGAGTCTGCTGGGACCACTGCTTTACAGCATCTACACGTCGGACATCCCTCCTCTAGGAGACGGTTGCGTGTTCTTTCTGTTCGCAGATGACACCGCGATAGCCGTCAAGGGTAGGATGCCTCGTGAAATTACGAACAAGCTCCAACGATGCCTTGACACCTTTACTGATTATGCCACCACGTGGAAAATCAAAATCAACGCCTCGAAAACCCAAGCGATCATGTTCCTTCACAGACAATCACCAAAACTTAAACCGTCTCCCTCCTGTACCGTAATAATGGATGGTACAAGGGTCGAGTGGTCCACTGATGTTACTTATCTCGGGATGTTGTTCGATGAGAAGCTCCTGTTCCGCTCGCACATAGAGAAAACCCTAGTTAAGTGCTCCGCCTTGGTTAGGTGTTTGTATCCGCTCATTTGCCGCAGATCCCGCCTCTCAAGGCAAAACAAACTGGCTGTTTACAAACAGATCATAGCCCCCGCAATCTTCTATGCCGCCCCGGTGTGAGAATCGTGCGCTCAGACCCACAGGAACAAAATCCAGGTTGCACAGAATAGAGTGTTGAGGATGATCCTAGATCGTCCATTCGACACAAGAATAGCAGACCTCCATCAAGAGGCAGAAATTCCCAAAGTAGATTCCAAAATTGATGATATGACAACCAAATTTATTCAAAAATGCAATCTTTCTGAACATGCTTTAATAAGCAATTTGTACATAGTAGGTTAAGTGTATATAGTAGAGTAGGTTAGTTTTAAGTAGTTTCTCTTCAAATTCTAAAAACAAAACAAACCAATCCCACCAAGGTGGTCGACCGTGTACTAAGTCTAGGACTAATTCTGTAAAACAAATTTTGAATTTTGCCCATACCTAAAGATGAAGAAAGCAATTAAATCACTTAGTAAAAAAAAAATTATATGGTAATCGTCCAAGTTAAACTGAAATAAAGATCATTTAAACTAAACTAAACTGAACCGATCAGAGTGAAAAATTTAATGCAGGCTTCGATGGTTCGAGATCCTTCCCTCTCTGTAAGGGGGTGGGTGGGGAGGGGGGGGGGGGGTGCTGCCATACAATTTAGTTGCAAGCGTAGCAACGCTCGCACGGGGTTCAGCTAGTATTTAATAAACCATAATATTTTCACGCGCAACGCAACGCTTCGCTTTTCGCATCAGCATGGCAGCGGCCTTATAATTTTAATACTTTGTTTGGACAACGCAGTGCTTCCTAGCGTGTAAAAAGATAGAAATACAAATTTACTCAGTCACTGGGTAAGATTGAACGCTTTGATTTGATGCACTACTCATGCTACTTATTTTAATCATCCTTGTTTTTTTCAGCGCTTTTCCCGTTTTGCAATGTGTGAGTGATATGTAGCACAATTTTCTACATCGTCCATATTTTCGACTTAGCGCCAAGTTAAGATTAAACCAGAAATAAAAATGAAGTAGACTACAAATTTGATAGTAAATCATTTTAGCTATTTACAAATATTAGATTCTCAAAGTAGAGTTTCAGCCAATCATTGTTTTGAATTACAATACAAGCAACTTTCTTTTTTTACTCGCACGAGATATTGAAAATACATTATTCTCATAATTCAATCATAACCAAACAAAATGCCTAATAGCAAAAATATGTTCTACATATATCCCGAATAAGGAGTGTGAAAGCATCCGGATTGCTACTTACCTTTAACCATGATTTCCGGATCTGATCTAATCATAAATTTGTCCAGCTAGAATAAAATTTAACTTGATTATTCCGCTTTTCCTTCACTATGCAAAAGCCACCATTTAGTACGTTCTTTTGCTTTGTACAGCGATTTGCACAGACACAAGCTCTGGTGGCAACTAGCGAGATACTCACACTGACGAACTCAACGAACAAGTGTACAATAAGTCAGACGGAGAGCCTCCACGAAAAAAAAATATACGCTTTGCTTTTTTTCGACTTGCCTTGTCGCGCCTGCCTATTATTTTTCAAGTCTCAAAATGATCCGCCTAGAAGCGAATTTTCACATTCCACTTATTTCTATTTTTCCTCGACATCTTGATGCACAGTAAAGATACACTTTTATAAGGCGTTATTTTTCCAAAAATAAAAATTCTATACAGAATTAACTTTTCTTACTCTGCCTCCATACTTTCACACAGACAGACTGACTACCAATGAACCAATGAAAAATGAAATTCGTTGTGTTCGTTCGTCGCGGTTGCATTTTCATTCAATTGGCGTTGACGGCACTGTCGAAAAATTTGCTCTTCCAGCAAATGTAGACAGTTTCTTATGGGAATTTTCGATGGAGTGAAAGGATAGTACGAAGTCCGCCATGTTTCACGCACAGTCTGACGTTTGCTTATGGATTTTCTCATAGGAGTAAAGAGCTACAGAGTCGCCGTCAACGCCAATTTAGTCAAACTGTCTGCAAGCTGTCAGCCATGCTGTCACTTTCAAGCGGTTATCAAAACCGTCCAGATACACTGTAACTGGAAATTACCCATTAATGGGTACAATTTCATCCATTTTGAAATAAAGTAGGTTAACAAATTTAATGTGTAAAAATACCTATTTGTGAGTAACTAATACCCATGAATGTGTAATTTTTACCCATTGGTGGGTAAACATTACTCATTAATGGGTAATTTTTTACCAATTTAATGGGTTAACCTACTTTACTTCAAAATGGGTGGAATTGTACTCTTTAATGGGTACTATAATGTTAGAGTGCGCTATTCTAAATCAATCCATACATACTGCAACTGCCATGTACCCATTAATGGGTAAAAAAGGACCCATTTTTGATGACTATATGAGGCTGTCAAATAATGGGTGAAGTTCAATTTCAAATAATGGGTACTCTTTTACCCATTTCTCAGATCACTTCGGGAAAGAATAATGAGTACTTTTTTTACTCATTAATGGGTGAAAAGCAACTTAGATAATATCTTCCAATCCTCGCTTCAGTCGCAAAGTGTCTTGACGATGTCGAATGGAAATTGCTCGTTTGAAAAGTAGGTATTTCTTATTTTATTTCTTTCTGCCCACATCTAAAAAGTAATCTGAAACTTGCAGGGACAGAACTAGCCGCATCAGCAAGGAGATTTCAGGAGAGCTTTGCGAGCACGATGGAAAGATGGATGGAAAATGGTGAAATAAAGATATAAATATAAATAACGTTTTGTGTTCTTAACTATTCATTGTGGCTCTTTCAATGACGAGTTCAATGATCCATAAATCATACAAATTCTAAAAGAAAAATCCTGGCTTAAGGATTTCAAAAGTGGGTACTTTGTACCCATTTTATGAAGCCAATTATTATTTAAAAATGGGTAAAAAAAAGTACCCCATGATTTGACGTACAAGCTCTTTACCCATAAAAGACGTTTTACCCATTAAATAAGTTTATCTACTTTACTACGAAATGGGCACTTTTTCACCCACTAATGGGTACTTTCCAGTTACAGTGATGGCTGCAATTGGGTTTTTAACACGGTAACCAGCGTAAACACATAAATGAGTAAAAAAAAATACACATTTTTTAAACTTATATGCAGCTGTCAAAAAATGTGTAAATTTGGAGATCCTAAAATGTGTAAAAAAATACACAATTTAAGAATGTAGTACCAGTCAAAAAATGTGTATTTTTATACTCATTAATGGGTAAAAAACACTTCAAACTTTGCTGCATCCTACTTTATTGACGCACGCCATTTGCTAAATTTCAGTGAAGAACAGCAGGAAAATTGAGGAACTACGGTCACAGAGAACAGACATGGAGGCTCGAACAAAATTTCTCTAATAACTTGTGTAAAGATTCCTATTTGACTTAAGCGCCACTAACGTCGACTTCCTCACTTAAAAACCCTCTTTGACAACATGATGGCGCTAGCGTTGCACAAATTACACTAGACACTAAGTGCTAGTAGCGCCAAGCACAGAGAACAGACGTTCAAGTTCGGTCAAAAACTTGTGTAAAATAAGTGGGAACGTCGCCGTTACGTGGTGTTAGCATCTCCTGATTTCCTCTATAAATTTTCCACTTTCGACCAATTTGGCGCTAGTATCGATAAATTTTCTGTTGAAAATTTCCACTTGGCGCACAGAGAACAGACATGGAGGCTCGAACAAAATTTCTCTAAAAACTTGTGTAAAGATTCCTATTTGACTTAAGCACTACTAACGGCGACTTCCCCACTTAAAAACCCTCTTTGACAACATGATGGCGCTGTCGTTGCAAAACTTACACTAGACACTAAGTGCTGGTAGCGCCAAGTGGCAATTTTCAACAGATAATTTATCGATACTAGCGCCAAATTGGTCGAAAGTGGAAATTTTATAGAGAAAATCAGGAGATGCTAACACCACGTAACGGCGACGTTCCCACTTATTTTACACAAGTTTCTGACCGAACTTGAACGTCTGTTCTCTGTGGTAATACTACATTGAGGCTCGAACAAAATTTGTCTAAAAACTTGTGTAAAGATTCCTATTTGACTTAAGCGCCACTAACGGCGACTTCTCCACTTAAAAACCCTCTTTGACAACATGATGGCGCTGTCGTTGCAAAACTTACACTAGACACTAAGTGCTGGTAGCGCCAAGTGGCAATTTTCAACAGATAATTTATCGATACTAGCGCCCAATTGGTCGAGAGTGATAAATTTAAAGGGGAAATCAGAAGATGCTAGCGGTACGTAACGGCGACGTTTCCACTTAACTTTACACAAGTTTCTGATCGAACTTGGACGTCTGTTCTCTGTGGTAGAATATAGCCTCGAATATACTCTCCAATGTGGTATATTTTGCTCGATATTTTGTTCCACTCAGATTTGTAAAAAATTAATCATGTTTTGTTGTTTTTAACATCATCCACATCCAGAGGGCCAGTTACTTTGAATGTATGGGAATGGTAGGAAACCATTTCGAAATGCATGAAAATTTTCAGTTTTTATTCATTATCGTCTTTATGGGCAGTTTTAGATGCATGAAAATTGCACGAGTACATTACTATGGTGATAAGGTAAACACTCGTTTATTTGTTTCCTTCTGTCAAAGCATATTAAGTCACAAATCGTGGATTTTCTGATATTCTCCATACTGCAAAAATGATTTTCCTACCACTGAAGGGGCGACATCTCTCGGATCTTCAGAATAGCTACTACTCATATCATATAATTAATTGAGTCTTCAAACACTTCCAATGAATAGCGATACTACCGATACGGTTAAAAAAGATTCATTTTACCGTGATGCTGAAGCAGACGACAGTCGCTCAAATTAAAAGCACTGAGAACATACGTTGAGGCTCGAACTAAATTTGTCTAAAAACTTGTGTAAAGATTCCTATTTGACTTAAGCACTACTACCCACATGAATTAATTATATGATTTGAGTAGTAGCTATACTGAAGATCCGAGAGATGTCACCCCTTCAGTGGTAGGAAAGTCATTTTTGCAGTATGGAGAATATCAGAAAATCCACGATTTGTGACTAAACATGCTTTCACAGAAGGAAACAAATAAACGAGTGTTTACCTTATCACCATAGTAATGTACTCGTGCAATTTTTGTGCATCTAAAACTGCCCATAAAGTGGATAATGAATAAAAACTGAAAATTTCCATGCATTTTCAAATGGTTTCCTACCATTCCCATACATTCGAAGTGACTGGCCCTCTGGATGTGGATGATGTCAAAAACAACAAAACATGATTAATTGCCGGCGAAAAAGTGACGTCATTTGACATTGAGCGACTTGAAAACTGATCGTTCGCCCTTTGTCCGGGATGCGGACGAAAGGCGACTCGCCCCGCTAGAGTAATTTCATCCGCCGGGCGACCAAATGGCGCTCCGGGATCCGGACGAAAGGCGACTCGCCCCGCTAGAGTAATTTCATGCGCCGGGCTACCAAATGGCGGATGGAACATAGCCATTTTTTTGTGATTTTTTTTGCGTTTTTTAGCGGTGGCTGATTACGTGGGAAGCCATTTTTTTTATCTCGTGCGTGTTTAGTACACGTATTTTTTATCTGGCCGCGAAATTAACTTCGGATGGTTCTCTCGGGAGTTTATCGGCACGATTAACGGAAGAAACAAGCCGGCAAATGGAATTAGAATAGGTAAATATGGTAAATATACTGCATGCAAAAAAATAAGCAATGTTGATAATTTTTGTTGACATTTTTTTCAGCCTGATCCAGTACAATTCAAAATTAACGGAGGTGGAGCAGGAATTAGCTCTCGATGGAAAGCTGAATGAGGGTAAATATTATACTTATTGTGAACATGAAGTGTTTTTTAAGTGATCACTGTGAAATAACTTTTCAAAATGTTTGTTTTAGAGGACACCCGGCAGGATTTCAGCACTTCTACCTGCATACGTGTTGGAAATAGGGAACCGAAGCCAGATCTCGGATCTCAATAAGGACAATGAAGCTAGATCCGAACATCATTACTGTTCCATCCATTGTTTATAGTGATGTGAATGAACTGAGTATGTAAGTTTCTTTTTGTGAGGAAGGGAGAGCGATTGGGAAATTGAAGCAGGAAGATAGGGAGTTCTTGCATGTTCTTCGGAACTTGGAAGTTCTTGGGAACTTCTTGGAAGTTCTTGGGATCTTCTTGGAAGTTATTGGGATCTTCTTGGAAGTTATTGGGATCTTCTTGGAAGTATTTGGGAAGTTCTTGGGAACTTCTTGGCAGTTCTTGGGATCTTCTTGTAAGTTCTTGGGATCTTCTTGGAAGTTATTGGGATCTCCTTGGAAGTTATTGGGATCTCCTTGGAAGTTATTGGGATCTCCTTGGGATATTCTTGGAAGTTATTGGGATCTTCTTCGAAGTTCTTGGGAACTTCTTGGAAGTTCTTGGGAACTTCTTGGAAGTTCTTGGGATCTTCTTGGAAGTTCTTGGGATCTTCTTGGAAGTTATTGGGATCTCCTTGGGGTCTTCTTGGAAGTTATTGGGAACTTCTTGGAAGTTATTGGGAACTTCTTGGAAGTTATTGGGAACTTCTTGGAAGTATTTGGGAAGTTCTTGGGAGCTTCTTGGAAGTTTTTGGGATCTTCTTGTAAGTTCTTGGGATCTTCTTGGAAGTTATAGGGATCTCCTTGGAAGTTATTGGGATCTCCTTGGAAGTTATTGGGATCTCCTT